ATCACGGGAGCAGCTTGGAACGATGGGGCTCTTGGTGGAAAACCACCCAGAGACACCTCCCGGGTTGCTGGGGGAGATCACCGAGAGATATTGAGGGAGAGGAAAATTCAGCCTTATTCAAATACATGTACACAAGAGGTGTGAATCTGAGCCCCAATGCAAGGACCCGACCCCCAGTCCAAAGGTTTCCTCTGAAGGGCTCCAATGAACCCGAACTGACTTTGGGTCACACGGTGGGGATACACAGAGCTCCCTGCCTAGAGATCTGCTCTGTTTATAGGCGCTGGGGAACCCGCATGCAAATCCCTGCCCGGGACTTCCTGGTTAAATACCAGCCCCTGGCTCTAGGAACCTCAGTCTCTGCCAGACACAGACCGGCCCGGTCCAGCCCTTTGGGGAGTTTCCCTCAGTGCCTGGGAACGAGAATGGAACCTCTGCTGCTTTTCCTGGCTCTGCTCGCCGCCCCCGGCTGTGAGTGTGTTAGAAAGCGGGGAAATTGGGGACAGGTGCAGAGATTCAAGGGCTGGTTCATTTCTTCCATTTTCCTGTTTCTCTTTCCCCAGGTGTCTTCTCTGAGGTGCAGCTGGTTGAGTCCGGACCCGGCGCGGTGAAGCCCGGAGAGACCCTCACGCTGAGCTGCACCATCAGCGGTTACTCCGTCACTAATAGCTACTGGGACTGGGTCCGGCAGGCTCCGGGGAAAGGGCTGGAATGGGTGGGACAGATCGACTGGAGCGGCTCCAGCTGGCGGACATACTACAGCCCGGCTGTCCAAAGCCGCGCAACGCTCAGCGCTGATAAGTCCAAGAACCAGTTCTCCCTGCAGCTCCGTTCGCTGACAGCTGCAGACACCGCCACCTATTATTGCGCCAGAGGAAGACACAGCGACACAGCGCAACGCAGGGTCCGTACAAAAAGGGGAAGAGGATTCCGAGCAGCGAGTTCCCATTTCGGCAGTGCGGGCTGCACAGATCAATGCGAATGGAAAGTAAGGGACAAGTGCAGGAGAGAAGCGCCATTGACAGACCCAAGCGAAGCGGCAGTGTTGTCCTGTGCAGTGTTTCTCAATTTTTTTTTATAAAATACCCCTTTAAAAAAACAATTATAAGTACCCCCAGTGCCTACAGGTTTCAGAGACGAATTTTTTTCTACCATTGCAACACAGTTGTTTAAACACCATAATCGTAGCTGGGCAGATGATCACATTTTTGGGTGTAAAAATTACAAAAATAATAAAGCGCTGTAAAACTTCAAACAACAAAATCGGGTTTCTCCTAATTTTAGTTGTGTTGACGTACTCCCCAGACTTCTCTCAAGTATCCCTAAGGGTACTGGTACCACTGATTGAGAAACACTGGTCTAGTGGATAGGGCGCTGCTCGCGGTATCAGGACACCTGGGTCCTTTCCGTCCTTTCCTGCCATGACCTGTGGGGAACTGTGGAAAGTCATTTCCGTTCTCTTTCCCCTCCGTCTGTTGAGACTGGGACCTGTGGCTCTGTCTGTACGGGCGGGACGTGTAGACGCCGCTGTAATGCCAGTGACACGTGTGGTAAAGTACCAAGCTCTTGACAGGCCAAAGTTTCTTTCCTGGCTGAAAACAAATATCGAACGAAA